AGAGAAGAGAGCTTGGTGGGAACTTAGAGCGTGTGAAGAAGCATGCAAAAAGGAGGCCTGGGCTCCAGGAAGGCCATCTGCTCTCCTTTGAAGACCTGCAATGAAAAATGCTCTCAAGGAGGCTCAGCTCCACTCCCACAGTGAGGGTGACTGAGGCCTGAGTCTGGCTGTGGGACAGGAAGGGCCCAGGAGACGAGGTCACCCATACAGGAGACTGGGCTGCAGGCCAGTAGGGTCTGCTTCCTGAAGAGTGTACCAAGCCAAAAAATGACCTTGGGAACCAGGCAGGCAGGCTCCCAACTTAACTCCTCCCCTGCGGCTTTAGATGAGGGTATTTTCTCTGAACCTCATGTCTTATAGGCAGCGCTGGAAGACCGGCTACATTGCTATGAAGAGGGTAAAAGCACAACACGCATACTGAGCTCCAGCTGGCCACACGAACCTCAAGAGGGCAGGACCAACACCTAACTCCTAAGTCAGCTAGATCCAGAGGCAGGGAAACACAGCGTAGGGTTTTAAATACTTGCATCTCTATCAACTTGGACCTTCTCCATGACTGAGAATGATTGGTCCACGGTCTGTGATGCTCCATGACTGAGGGCTTTCTGGAACAGCTGTCAACCTGCAGATGTGTTGAGGATGTCTTCCCAAGGGCTTACCTCAAAAGCTTCTTGGTCCTCAGCCTCCATCTCTCTCCCACTTCTCTAGGAACACTTCCTGCCCTGGCTCTCCACAGGACTGAGCCAGTTGGTACCCATGGGCCACTGATGAAGCATCGCTATTACAAGGACTCAAGAAGATGGTGGGAGAAAGTAGAAGTGGAACTTTGGACCCTGGAAGGTTGAGAGGGTTGTGAGGAAAAGCACCACTTAGCCAGTATAGTTCTAGATCTGTTTTTCAAGGGTATCCTTTATTAAAGAGTATTATTATTATTATTAATTATTAATAATATAATATATAATATATATAATAATATAATATTAATTATGTGAGATTAGGAACCTCACATCATGTGCCTCAGTGCACTCACCTCCCAGCCTTCCATGTCCACCCTCCCCCATGACCTCCCCACACACATAGAAAAAGAAAAAAACAAGTCCATTTTGTGTTGTCCATATATTCACTGAGTGTTGTAGGAGGAGGCTGCTTGTTCATTTCTCAGCTGCCCAGACCCAAAATAACCACAGAGAAACTGTATTAATGAAATCACTGCTTGGCCTATTAGCTCTAACTTCTTATTGGCTAGCTCTTACATATTAATTTAACCTACTTCTATTAATCTGTGTATCACCACATGGCTGTGGCTTACTGGCTAAAATTCCAGCGTCTGTCTCCAGCGGGGCTACATGACTTCTCTCTGACTCCGCCCTTCTTTCTCGCAGCATTCAGTTTAGTTTTCCCCACCTAGCTCTGTTCTAACCTATCATAGGCCCAAAACAGCTTCTTTATTCATTAACCAATAAAAGCAACACATATATAGAAGGACTTCCTACATCAGAGTGTGATCAAATTCCTTGAAGCTAGCCTTGAAGCTAGGGAGGATGAGTCTTCCTCCACTACATCCACACTTGAAGCCATCAATTGAGGAAAGCCATGCATTGGCCAGAACGGGGTAGAGTTAGCTCTCCCATGCTTACCCCACCACCTGTACTGCAGTGCTGTGTGCTGGCATGGGGCAGGGCCAGCTCTCCTGTGCTCAGGGACACTAACTTGGCTTTAGGTGGAAGCCCTGATCGTAGACACCCACTTGGACTTTGGTGGTGGTGACACAGGCCACAGACATCAATCCTGCCCTTGGTCATATCAAGACCATTGACCCTCTCATGTCCTTCAGTGGCTGCATGGACCATGAGCCTTGACACAGCCTCAGATGGTTACACATGCCACTCATAGCAGCATGGCTTTCTGAGGCAGCAAAGCCCGAGGACATCACCAAGGCATTGGGCAGAGGCACAGACTGCGTACATCCTCATGGATCTCAGGCTTCATCGTGGTCTGGGGCAGCAGCATGGACCATTGTCACCAACATGGCCTCTGGTGTCATCATGGATCAATGCCAATCCTTCAAGGAGTTCTAATCCAGAACACGAACCTTCCCCCATCTCGGGCCTCTGTTGTTGCCGATAACTGAGATAAAATGGTCCCAGACTAGCTCAGAATGGGGTATAATAAAGGGTTCTTTATTTAGGGGTAGACTCACAGATCTATAGTCCTCTGCATGAGCAGGGAACAGGAACCGAATCCAGCTGGAGAGAGGGAAGGAGGGAGTGAGAGAGGGAGAGAGAGCAAGTACACATTTCTAGTACCCAAGACCACACCCAAACTGGACCAACCAAAGGCCATTGGCTGAAGGAGTTCCCTCAGCACAGAGCCAGGGGGATCCCCAGGCCAGGCAGCAGGTTCAGGGGCCGAGTATGTGTGCATCATCCTGCCGACTCTCCTGGACAATGGCAGCATGCAGACCTCAGCCCTCTCCACCACCTGTCACCGCCATCACGTCTCCAGTTCTGCCTTTCTCCCTAGCACACACTGTTCTGTTTTTGTATCTTTCCCACCTCTCCATTATATATTTGCTCATTGTGGTGGCGCCCACTTGGATGGTTTCTGCCTGCCCTGGGCAGTTGGATTAAGGCAAGAGTATGTTAAGATGACCCTGTTGAAGGTAGACCAGACAGTCAAGATTACAAACCTAAGATGCCCTTTAGAAGGATATGATTTCACAAGGGAAGGGAGCTTTGGTCCTAAGGCCCAAGCTCTCAGGCTTCTGTAGCTCAGGTCCCTATCTCTTCAAGTTTAATTAGAATTTCTGTCTCACTCGGTCCTACAGCCATTCAGTTCCAAAGAAACACACAGAGGCTTATATAAACCATAAACAATTTGATCTATTAGTTAAGATTTATTATTAACCAGCCCTTACAACTTAAAGCAACCCATAATTCTTGTTTATTTTTAGCCACGTGGCTTGGTAACTTTTCTCAGTGAGGCATTCTCACCTTGCACCCTCTGCTTCTGAATGATGACTGTGTCTCTGCCTTTCCTCTTCCCAGAATTCACCTATACTTCTTGCCTGGCTACTGGCCAATCAGCATTGTATTAAACTAATATGAGCGATAAGTCTTTACAGTATACATTTTCCCACAACAAGTTTATTTCTCAGAATTCTCCAGACTTCCAGATCTAGCCCCTTCGTGTCTTCTCACGCTCGCTTCCCTTTGCTCCTCTGTTCTCCCACTACAGGAACCCTTACTTTCAGGCCCCCCTTTCTCACACCCTCTGTGGCTGCCATTGGTGGAACTTTCCTATTTGGTGCATTCTGTATCCTAACCCGCTAATTATCAGCTCCCTTGCTTGTCACTACGCTCCAGCTTTTCCTGCACCCCCATTCACTAAAGAAGCAGAGAACTACAACAGCTCCTCATATTGCCACCAGCCAGGAAGACTGCACACTTACCTCTGACAGAAATCACTGGCATGTGCTCAAATCCCAGGCATGCATGGGCAGAAGCTGCAACAAGCTGCTGAGGTCCACTGGACAGCACCACTCAGGACAGAGGGACGGTGACCTCACTAACGCACTGCACAGCTGCCCTACTTAGCCATCTCCTCCCTAACACCCAAACTGTGCCCAGGGCTTTGGGCACTACGAGAACAGCGGGTAAGCCCTCGGCAACAACTTCCCCCAGACACGGTTAACTGCAGAGGCAATGTCAATATCAACACTGCAAGCAGACAAGAACCCAGGAATGTCCGAGTCCCCAGCTTGAGATTCCAGCTGTCAGGCGGTAACTGGGTCTAAGGTTAAGTCTATGTCAAGCCTCTTCAGTCAAAAGCGTGGGTAACAATGCTCCCTCAAAGGGCTGGAAAGGTTGAGTTAGTGGACAACACATGCACATGGCATGCAACATGGATGTCGTCAGTTGAGGAAGACAGTGACTCCCGAGGACAAGCACATGGAATGGAAGCTGTCTCACAGATGAGCGTGGACTCTTGTGAGGCGGCCAACAACTAGCAGTTATGGGAAATTCCTAACGAACAGGAAGTAGCCTATTTTCCCCAGATAATCTCTGCCCATTTCTACTCTAACTCCTTTATTTCTAGTCTCAAATTTTGAACCTCTTAACCGATCTACTGGGGTTTTTTGTTTTGTTTTTGGTTTTTTGGTTTTTTTTTTGGTTTGGTTTGGTTTTTCAAGACAGGGTTTCTCTATGTAACAGCCCTGGCTGTCCTGGAACTCACTCTGAAGATCAAGCTGGCCTAGAACTCAAAGATCTGCCTGCCTGTGTCTTCTGAGTGCTGAGATTAAAGGCACACGCCACCATGGTTTGGCCTATTGTTTTTTTATTAAATTAAAATATGTGTAAAGATTTATTCATTAATTATGTATAGGGTTCTGTCTGAATGTATACCTGCACGACAGAAGAGGGCACCATTTCTCATTACAGATGGTTGTGAGCCACCATGTGGGGGCTGGGAATTGAATCTAGCTCCTCTGGAGGAACAGCCAATGCTCTTAACCTCAGAGCCGTCTCTCTGGCCCTGATCTGTTGTTCCTCAGGAGAATGCCGTCTAACTTTCGCTTGGAAGGAGCTGAAGCAGCAGCTATCTGGGCTCTCAGGTCGGGAGAGGTGACAAACTAACGGACAGTGCAGAGATAGGCAGCTTGGCGGAGGAGCCCTGGTAGGCGCGACAGCGGCACTGTGGGTCTCAAGGTGTCCCTCCTCCTCCTCTCCCTGTTGAAAGACAACCTGATGCTACAAATCAACAGTGGCAGCAACCCAGGTGATGGGCACTTCCTGCTTCCTGCCAACAGCCCAGCTGCTCCCAAACACCTGTCCCTCCTCCGACCAGTGCTATGTGGACAGAGGAAAAGCACTAACTCTGCGGACTGTCTGGTATCCCAACTTCAGAGTGCTCCTAACACCATGGGCCATCACAGCACAACAGGAACTGCCAGCTTTGGGGGTGCACTTTGCTGGGGCAGGGGACAGACAATACACAAGTCAGATTGGTAGTCACGTTTATTACTCTGCGCTCTGTTTTCCATATAGTTTTGCAAGACAACCAAGTGTGAAGGACAATCGATTTGCTCTCCCAAACGCTGCAGCGGTAAGGTGAAGCCCTCACTGGCAACCAGTGCTGACAAAACCGAGATTGGTCTATTGGCGCCAGAGATGACAGGGCAGGACTCAGTCAGCAGTTCCTGCCTCCTGCAGCAGAAGGATCATGGGCTAGAGCGTCCTAGAAAGTAAGCGATCAGCAGCCACGGAGTACTTGGGATTAGGTATGCAGCCGAGATCTGGAACATCTTACTTCTTTCTCCTCTTGGTTGAATACAATTTCTCTTCCAGTGGGACTGGGACTATGCCGCTGCACTCTTTTACTTCCTGGGTCAGAGGGTGTTTCACAACATTTGGTCTCACCACATCAATGTCTCGAATCAAGTGATCCAATATGCCATCCACAGCACTGGTTGGGGCATAAAAATCCACCAGAAAATACCTGCAACAAGACAGAAATGGGTGAGTTCCTGTATCAGAACTGTCACATCCCTGCTGCTTTGGTCAGACAGAGCTCACTGCTCAAATACTAACCATGTGCACTGAACAGCAGTGGGCATACCCAGTCTCCTTTCAGACTGGACTCATCATTAAGTCCTGTGGAAGCAATCCTAAACCACCTTTACGGCAGCAAAAAGGCATTGTGACATCAGCCACAGCAGGGAATAATACAATAATTGTGGAATTATATACTCAGAATTTTCTAACCTATCAACAAGAATGGAATTCTAAATCATCTGATTATTTTAATGAAAACATTAGGAAGTCTTCTAGTTTTCCAAAGGACTTTACTAGTGACTTCATCCCTAAGAGGAACAAACGTCAGTCAGACATTAGTCAGTCAGCTGTGTCCCACAGGAAGGAGATAGACCTACCCAGAACTGCTCTGTAGGAACAAGATCTAACAAGGAACACAGTGCAGATGCCATAGCCCTTCAGTAAGACAATGGATATAACATTAATTATTCATGTCAGACTGATGCTAAATGCCATTAGAGATAGCTATGGTCCAAAATTCTATTAGAACCTGACAGACAATGTCACAAAGGACTGTCCCCAGCGCACCGTTGTCCACACTCACAAGTAGCCAGATGTAGTGGTGCACACCTGTAAGACCAGCATTCGAGATGCAAAGGCAGGGGGATCGCTTAAAGTTCAAAGTCAGCGGCTCTTTAGAGTGAATTTAGGCCAGTTAGGGAGCTCAAAGCCTGCAAAGGGCAAGGGCAGGGTTGAAGCTGCCTCTGCACCGTGTGATTCAGATGACATGGCTTGGGACTGTCGGCAGTGCTCTGAAGATCTGGCAATGTTCTAGCCGCGTGAGATATCTCTCTCTAGCCATGCCTTCTCCGAACTCATGAAGCACAATCTGATCTGAGGTTCTGTCCTCAATGTTCCTCTTGCCCAAATTCCACAGGGCTCCACCCACTTCTCAGGTCTGTCCAAATGTCTTCCTGGAGGCCCTCTGACTACCTCCTACAGAGCAGCCTCACCCCACGCCTTCACTGTCTCCCTCACTGCCTTGCTCTTCCTCCTTTGATCAAGCTGTACCACTGCTAGCATGGGAGAGATCTGTTTACTGTCCACCCGGGGAAGGAAGTGTGTTCCACCAGCCAGCCCTTGAGTGCAAGGCAGGAAGGTGCTGCCTAGGTAAATGAGTCTTGGGGCAGCACAGAGATGAATAGAAATGGATTAATTTTACTTTAAAAAAAAAAGTTAGCTAGAAACAAGTCTAAGCTAGGGCTCAGCATTCACAACAATAAGTCTCAAGTCATGATTTGGGCTGGCGGTTCAAGAAAGACTGATACAAGCAAATATCTAGACTGATATTCCTCCCTCAACCGCCTTAAATAAACAAGGAAACTTTGTATCCAAGTGCCTTAGACAAAGTCTCCTTTTCACCTTTAGAAACTTGCCCTTGCTTTAGACTTCTTGACTGTTGTCCATGTTCGTGCATTTACTATGTCTTCTACATTCCCAGAGCAAAGCTTTCCAACTCTAAATAAAGACTATTCTTTGGAGAACCTTTCTGGTATTTAGACTGACCATGGCTAAGAATTTTTTCAATTATTTAGATATCTATTCTCTCCAGTGTGACTTACAGTTCCAACAACTCAATCACAGTATCAACAAGCAAACTTTCAAGTTCATGTGGAAACACACAGAATGTACAACAGTCAAGCAGTATTGATGAAGAATGAAGCTGAACAACAAATACCACCTATTTCAAGACTTAAGAAGCAGCAGTGATCCAGACAGCATGAACAGACAGACCCAGAGACAAGCATGTCAAAGACAAGCCAGGGGAAGAGAGTATTCTCAGCAAGCAGTGGTGACCAGCTCAGTGTTCCTAATGCTTCAAAAGTACGCTTTGCTGCACACTTGTGTGCCAGACAGGAAAACTCAAGAATGGGACAGACTGAAATCAAAATATTGAATTTCTAGAAAAAAAAAGTAAAAGAAAAGCCTTGGTGACCTTGGGATTAAGCCAAGGTTAATCAGGCAACACAAAAAAAGTACAACTTATAATTAAAAAAAAACACAATAAAACAGACCTTCAAAATTCAAAACAATTCTCAAAGTAAAAAGGCAAGCTGAAGACAGGATTTGTTAATTATATCTCAGATAATGTACCTGAACCTAGCAAAGAACTCTCAAAAATGTAATTTAAAATATAAACAAAGTAAGTTAAAACAAAAACAAACTAAGCCTCAATTTAAGAACAGCTGTAAATGAACAGATCAAAGGAAGACATGATAGAGTCAAGGAAGAACGCCATGGTGTTTGAATGCTTGGCCCACAGCGAGCGGCACTGTGAGGTGCGGCCTTGTTGGAGGAAGTGTGGGCATCACTGTGGAGCCAGGTTTGAGGTCTCACACGCTCAAGCTACTATGACACACAGTCTCCTTCTGCTGTCTGCGGATCAAGGTGTAGAACTCTCAGTTCCTTCTCCAGCACCATGTCCCCCGCCATGACAAGAGTAAACTAAACCTCTCAAGCTGTGAGCCAGCCCAGTTAAATGCCTTCCTTTCTAAGAGTTGCTGTGATCATGGTGTCTCTTCACAGCAACAAAACACTAAGACAGATGCTTACAGTCAGCAATAAGATACAAACGAGAACCAGAGAAAATGACTGTACAAGTTACTTTCAGTTGCTGAATAAAACACCACGGCTAACGGCAACTTAAGGAAGGGTCTGTTTTGGTTTAAAGCTCCCGAGGGCTATAATGGCAGAAACGCACACACGCAAGCATGGTGGTCCCAACAGGAAGCCGGGAGAGCACTTCTGAACTGCACAGAAGCACAGAGTGAACTGGAAGTAGGGTGTAGCTATAAATTCTCAAAGTCCACCCACAGACAAGGGCTTCCTCCAGCACTTCCTAAAGGGTCCATACATTTCCAAACAGCAGCACCAATAGAAACTCAGTGTTTAAATACGGGCGCCTATAGGGGACATTTCACATTTAAACCACCACACCAATGGAATGGTTCCTTGGGGCAGTGACTTGTCTATTTATTCACTAGATAAATAATCACTTGTGATGACTATAGGAACTAAACACCAACCTTCCAAGGCTTAATTTCACTTATCTGTGCTCCATACACACACGCACACACACACACAAACACACACACACACACAAAAAAAACCTCAAGGGTTTCAACCACCCAATGTATGAATTGCTCATTTGTTCAACACTAAATCATGATTACTTACCCTTCGCAAGCCAGGAAGCAGAGCCTAAAATGTTAAGTGGAGTGACCTCAAACCACCCCCTCTATGCTAAGCACCAGCTTCTTTTCCTGGCTCATCCATTTCATTTGGCCACTGGGTGGCAGGTGGGATGCTTTAATCCAACACACGCCCCAGCACTTCTTTCTTTCCAGTGTCCATTACTCTCTTACTCGGTATTAATCAAAATGTCCTTCCAAACTACCATGAGCATCCCTGCCTTTGTCCGTACACAGCCCTAAACTGGCAGGTGACAGGGAGGGATGCGCACCGTGCCCTGGCTGTTGCAGGTCCTGTGACACATCAGTACTAGGGTGTGCCCTATGATGCCCAGGCCTTCCCCCAGTAAGATCTAAGCTCCACCCTTCCTACACACCAGCCCGAGACCACCTCAGCTCTACCTACAGTGCTGTCGACAGCAAGCACTGCTCTCTTCTACGTTCAACTGCCGCACATCTGTAGGCAGAAAGGTCTACATATTCTAAGAGTATGTTTACAGGCGCCAAGAGTCAACTCAAACCTCTTCCACTCAATGGTACACTTCATGGGCCTCCTATTCATTGCTTACCAAACCATCCTTACATGCGTACCACCAGAGCCTTTAAGTATCACTTTGTGATTAATGGCAGAAAGAATCCCCAAGGATGGAAGGGAGCACAGAGCCCGGGGTACCAGATCCCTCCTGGTTCAGATCTTGAAAAGAAGGGTCTTAGGCATCTCAATCCAAAGTGTCCTCACGTCTCTTCAGCACCTTCTGAGGAAAGGATGGCGGGCAGGAGAACCCCCATGTGAGTCAGGTGAGGAAATGGAAGAAGGAGACTGAGGCTGAGCACTGGTCTGGGTCCAGCATTGTTTTCCAGACTATGGTTTTCTACACATCGCCTCCTTCCAACCTCACCGTCTAACATGAAGAAGAACAGACTCAGGAAGCTTCTATCAATATTCTCAGTTCACCCTGCTGTGTGTGGCCACAGTGAGGACTCAGACAGATCAGGTCTTCTCTAAGTGAAATCCTGGAAAGTATAGCACAGCGCCTTCAATTGGGGAAATAACAAGCAGAAAGAACGGGTCTACCTGGTCTACCAGGCCACAGTGGAACCTGGAAGCCAGGGCTCCAGGCTGCGGTCCCTGGACAGACCTCATTCCTCACAACATAGGACTGGCACTCTGGAGGCTTCTCAAGGATAAAGCAAAGGCATGGAGCTCTTCAGAATGGGCCAGGGCTTGGCTTCTAAGAGCCTCACTGCTACCAAACCCTGTGGCCGTTGCCCTTTAATCCACCTCCTCGAGTTTTCCAGTCCTTTGGCAACCAAACCCAAACAAGAGCTCTGGCCAAACTGCAAGTGGGTGTGTGCCCACAACCACAGCGTGCGACTGTCATTTCAGGCTTATCACTCTATGGATCTGTGCCTGGGGCTCCCCTGGCTCCCCATTATACCATGGAAATTTCCACGAAAAGGAAACACCCAACAGAGGAGGGGCAAGTAGCTCAGAGATGGGCAGATACACTGTATTCACCTCTCCTTGAAAGTTGAACCTCTTTCTTCTCCTCAGAAACCAAGCTGCCCTAAACCTAAGCTACCCGGGCATACTCAACCTGTATGCCTCAGTATCCCAGTCTATCCGCATGGCTTCACACACACAAAGAGCTGTTGCTTCCAGCCAGTACTCTTTTTCTCTTAAGAATTTTTCTAAGCAAACTTAGGTGAACAT